CATGAGAGAAACTCTACCAAACCGAGTTTATGGCGCTACAGCATGCCGGCTGCTCTTAGACGCCTATTGTTTAATCAAAACAAGCGACATTCCGAGGTGTTTTTGTTTTCAAGCCTGTAATGCCGAGATGTATTTCACATGATTCCACTGGGGCTTGATCAGTACCTCGCTAACCATACGTGGTAAAGTCGGTAATCTTTGTACGCTTTCACGAAAGGACTTTCATACTACAACGCTGTAAAATTCGGTCTGATGAACATATGAGCATGTCAACACAACCCGGCGAACAATGTCATATTTCTGGTGTTACTCAGTGGGTACAAAATGAACCAATGGATAGAAAAAAACAGGCCGTAACAGTTTCAACAGCAATTTATTTCAACGACGAATCATATTTAGAGAATGATTTACGAGTTCACAAAACTAAAGATAAAACAATAAATTATTTTCGGCAACACCAGACAACTTATGAAATTCAAAATATTTAGCGTTCGCAATCCAAATTACAGGACAACGGCACATGCGGTGGCCCTACATGGCAGAAACATGACGCTTCAACTCGGCTTGTTTTATTGCCCGGTGGTGCTCGAACTCTTTCATTCTCGCCTCCAGCTCAGGTCGGAAATGTCGTATCAAGCCCTGTAAAGTCGGCTTGAAGTTAACGAACAAACCTTTATTTCAAAAACGAAACAAACACAGTAAATACAGCAGTTGGAACTGATAAACAGTAACGATGAAACTGAGCTTTAAGAATAATTCAAATACATACCTCTGCCAGTCTTGTTTAAAATCCAATTCTTGAAAAATTTATCAGATTTACCTGAAAAACTTATCCTTACCCGCAGAAACTTCCCTTATAAAATTATACCACCCGAAACTATTAGAATGACATTCATAAAGTAATGACGTCGTATAAGAACAGTACTACTCAATCGTTTCAAACATTGCGCCTAATATGCGTCTCATCTCACCAAGTACGATAAAAAATAAGAACATATATTGACTGTGTTTGAATGGTGCAATCACTTCTTACGTCAAAATTCATTTCACTCTATCTTATCTTATTACCCTTAAACGAATTAACCTGACTCGAATCACTGGATCAAGTCGATCTTCATACCCATACTAACCTATGGTGATGAGTCCTCGGCCATAATTGCCAAGTTTTGATTGCGAGTACTGCTGGCTTGTTGAGAGGAACCGCAAGGCTCACGCGCCTCGACATGGACCAATGTTTAAAAATCGGATAGAGTATATATGTAAGTAAACCGCTGAGTTTATAGATTGAGAAAGAGCTGCGATGGTTTGGACACGTTTTGTGAATGTTTCTAGAAGAAAAGGCGAAACAACTACTACTTGCCCAACCGCCCGCTGGAAGACCCCAGGGACAGCCACAAATGATCCGGGGAAGTGTCTCGACAAACTGTGCTCCAGACTTATATTATTTTCTGCCGAAGATTAAATGCTGGCACAGGATCCAGAACGTTGGAAACACTGTCTGATGCGTCTGCCCTGGTGACCAAAAAGAGATAAGCGGTCACCAAAACTTACTGACAAGCACAGGAGGAAAGCAACCTGACGCAACAGAATTGTTCACGATGTCATTTTGCAACTGATCCAGTTAAACATAAAATGAGAAGACTGCAAAGACATAATAAACGAAAAAGGTGTGGTGGTAGAAAAAACACTACAACATATTTAAGGTAAACAGAGGGGCATCATGACCTGTGCTCAAAGCGCATATACTAGAACAGGCTTCAGTGCTCTATATGATGAGTGAGTATGCATCTGGTGAAGGCCATACGATGGATCATCTGT